CTGAAACTTCTGTACCCACATCTGACAAATCTTTTCTCAGTTCCTCAGCAGTCACACGGGGACTTCTCTCCACTCTACGCTTCAGGTAGCGCACAGCAGTCGAAGTCAGCATCTTCTTTCTGCCACGACCAGGTAGCGTTTCAACAGTGCCCTTTGCCTTGAATTTGCGAATGATGCTTCCTAAGGTGTCTCTTGGTATGTTTAACATCTTTGCAATCTTCTTATAGCCATTGCCCTTCCTGTGAAGAGAAATCACCTCTTCTCTTGTCTTCCTGGACCATTCTCTTGCCTTCACCATGTTTGTAACCACACCAGTAAATGTCTAGAAGGAGCTGAGTATCACAGTCATTTTAAAGCTGCCTAATTGGTGCTTATTATGCTTGATTGCTGCTCGGTGACATCCACAGGTGTTTTCAATACCTGATGGAAAGCACCTGTATGAACCTCTGTTCTTCAGAGTGGTAGTCTTTAAGGGGTTGAATAATTGTGGCAATGAAGAAACCACATAAGAACCATTTACTACTGTATTACATAAACAATTGATGTCATTTTAGTTGCATTTGGGTAGTTACAACGTCCTTGTAGGATTTGATTCTGAATACAATTCCAAATGTACACTATAGTCCCTAAACCCCTTTACAGCATTGGGGGTTGAATAATTTTGGACACAACTGTACCAGAGTATTCCAATTCAAGTCGAGTGGTACTTTGACCTTGGGTATTAGGTTCTTCCAGCTGTTCACCTTTGTTAACAGAGCTACCCTAGAGATCACTATGATGAACGCTATCTATAAGGATAATTGAAAGTAATGATTTTCAGTTTGACCCTCTGTTGTTATACATAGAGTTTTATAGATACTATGCTATGCAGCTTCATGTTACCCCAACTGAGTCACAAAGACATTGCTGTAAAGAGATCAAGTTTATGCATTCTCCATGCCATCCTGAAACTGTTGTTGATAATTTTGTGGTCTATCCATGTTCTTGATCCTGAATCATCCTGAATCTCTTTAGCGTTACTGCTTCTAACTTCACACCTGTTTAGAAAACTAAAAGTTACTGTAATTTCTGTCTGATCATTTGACCAGTTATTTATTCTGTTATGTTTGGTTCACGCCTACAGGCACAACCAAGCGCGGTTGCGTTTCTGCACATTTTTTGCATATTCCCGCTTGTTGTATGTAGGGAAGCCCCTTCATTTTAATAGATTTCCCTATGCATGAGAAATGCAGAAAACAAGTCCCTGAATCTTTACCAAAAATGTGCCGAAACCGTACCGTACAGTGCACTAGCAAGAAAAAGTGTACATTCTCAGATCTGTGGGGCACCATTAACAATTAATGGCATTGCCATGCATTTGCTAAATGGCAGAGTGCTTCGGTGGGAGTCAGGAAATCTCACAATTTTAAGTGCATTCACACAGATGTAAACTTAGCCTTAAACTCTCTATATAGTATTAACCTACAATAAAGCAAATGATGAGCAGAATTTCAGAGACTCATAAAGAAAAAAATATTATTAATTATATTGTTAATATTATTAACAACAACACCGACGTGATCATTATAGTAATTACTTGCCTGTAGTGTCTGTATTGCTGTATGCTGTGAAAAATAACAGATAGGATTAGACTGCTAGATAGGTGTTAGGTTCTATTTATATCATATAAGGATGTTTTAGTTCTAGTATTAATGTGTGCAGGTTGTCAGAGTTGTTTCAGTCGGGAAGATTTATCAAGCAAGCTAACAACAAAATCAAAACATATTTAATGGAAATCAAGTTGCCTCTCATTCAGCAAAGGATTTCTGACTTTTTTATTCGTATGTTTCGTAAGATCTGCAATAGATTTGACTTGTGTAGACTGCCTCTAGTGTACATAGTTGTTTAGAGTAGTTAGAAGCTGGCTAAAAGCCTGAGTTTAGACAAAGGGTTGCTTCAGGTCAGGATGGAGGGCTCTACAGGTCAGTCCTCTGGTACCTCCCACTGCTCTACAAACTTTGAGAAGCTTCTAGAAGTCAGTTTGCAAAAGTGAGGAGGGGCTGATCTGCATATTTATGGGAGTTTGACCAATCTCAGGTAGAGGGACTTGGCAGTGTGGCAGACCAGCCCCTAAATGTGACAGAGTCTGACCAGCAAGGTGAGTTGGGTGGATGGAGTGCTGAGGTGTTTTTCTGTGTAGCCTGGGAGGGGGCCCCAGAAAAGGGGGGTTCTGCCTCCAGGCTGGAGGAAAAAGGAAAGCTGAAGGAGGGAGCTCCACTGCCCTGCAATCCACTGGGGAAGGACATCCTGCATAGCTTGGAGAGGAACAGCCCAGTGGAAGGCATGAAAGCAGTTCTATTCACAGCTGCAGAACAAAGGACAGTGTGAGTACCTGTACACTGCCAGGGCCTATAAAGGAGAAGTCTGCTAGATGCAAGTTCTTGGCAAGTCTTCAGGGGACAGTTCATAGCTTACCCAATCCCTTGTCCTAGGATTAGATACTGTTGCCAGGTGGGCTGGTATTTTGTTTACTTAGGGGACTAAAAGCTCCTACAAGTTGGGATTTTTCTGAAAATCCATTCAAGGAGACTCAGAGATCCTGCAAACTGTTACTTTGCTGAAGACTGTTATGGTTCCGACTGGAACACAGTCAAATATCTGCTATTTTTGTAGTAGTCTAGAGAAGGAAATTGTCCTCATTTTGTTATTCTTCAATCAAGTTGGCATCCCATAACTCCTTTACTCTATCCAAGTTAAATTATCTAATAAATACAAAAAAACAAGCCCGGACCAAGACAGTGTCTTGTGTCTGAAAAAACGTGTGTTGCCTGGATGTGTAGGAACCCAAAACCAGCGGCTCTCAAGAGGGTAGCACTACACTTTCAAAATGTAGTGACCAGTGCAGCGCTACAAAATAAATGAAAAACACAACCTAAATCAAAATATTGATAAAATTAATAAATATAAAGTCCAAAAATCTTCTTTATAGCACTTCCATCCTTCTGCAATCACCAAGTGCTTCAAAACATAAAAGTGCAAGATTCCACCACCAGATGTCTGCTCACCTCCAGCAGTGTGACCTCACATAGTATTATGTTTGGTCTAACTGCACTTTTGGTCCCGAAATGGACACTGAAGATCAACTTGATGGATTTCGACTGTGGTTCACACCTTGTGCGGAATACAACTCCCACCAGGGACCATTTGGAAACTCAGGCACTGCCCAAGGGCCCGGGGTCAGTAGAGGGCCCCATGAGATACCCCTGGTACCTTTTTCATAGGCTTTTTTGAGTTTGGGCAAGGACACAGGGGCCCCATGATCCCCTATTGCCCGGGGGCCCCATGAGTTGTCAGTCTGCCCCTGACTCCCACCATCACATCACCTCATAAACAAAAGACTCCACATGGTGTGTAAAGTTTAAAACATTTTAATATCAAAATAAATACGAATGGCACACTCACATGTATAAGGTGCCCAACTTTACTGAGTGTGATAAGCCTCTGATATAAATTGCTCCCCAATCTGGAGAAACTGTGCCATGAGGAGTCTGCAGTAATAAGACTACAGCAGTGTGTCCTCCGGTAAAACCGTATTGCCATATAACAGATCAAATTAAACCGCAGGTGGTGCTGTAATGCTCACCGACTCTCTACAGCAGTGTGCCCTCCGGTATTTCCATTATTGCCATATAACAGATCAAATTAAACCGCAGATGCTGTAATGCTCACCGGCTCTCTACGGCAGTGTGTCCTCTGGTATAATCGTATATGGATCAGTGTGCACCACTACCGCCGTAGTATTTGACAGCTCCGTATTGTGTTGTGACGTCATCCAAAGCTCCTCCCCGACGCGTTTCATCATTTGTCACGTGACTTTCTCAAAGGGAACTACACTTGCAAAAGTTTTCCTCCTTAAATACATGAACACCTAAGACATGGACAGGAAATAAATGTAGGCAATTACTCTATAAATGGATAAGCTTTGCTTGATTTTTATTGCAGAGGTTTACACTTTAAAGTCAAACCAAAAAATTTTATATATTGCAGCTTATCAATCATTTGATGTGGTGACATCTGTTTTCCTTTCTCTGGCTTCTTCCCCTGTTTTCATCTGATGATCTGGCCAATAACACACCATGGGAGGAAAGAGACAGGAGGCACAGAGGACAGTGGCATTGTCAGTTTGGGGGGGGGGGTGGGGGGGTGGGAGTGTTGAATGAGTTAGCAGATTTGAATACAAATAACACTCTGAAAACAAACTTCAACTCACACTTTATAATCAATTACAGCAGTTTTTTCCTTTGGGATAAAAGTTTTATATGAATAAATAAAATGTAAAACCAATATAAAACCTCTTACACTGCACTTTAGTTTTAAAATTAAACCATAAATTATCCAGCTGCACTCAACAACATCCAACCATGTGTCCAAACTTTTCCAAAAATATGTTGCGCTGAATATATAAACTTAAAAGTCATACATACAGCAGTGCATACATTAAATGTCATATAAACTGAGTCCATTAAAAAACCGTGACAAATAAACCAAATAGGTTCATAAATCATGAAAATCAAAGAAAAGAGTGGAGGAGCCTGTGCTGACATCATCCCCTGTCTGCTGGAGCCAGCACCAGCGGCGTTTATATATGCAAGTGTTTATCGGCATTTTGTAAGCAGAATCTTGGATTTTTTAATAAAACAATCCAACTTTTCTTACGAATATTCTTGGATGAAAATCTACACGTAAATCAGGGGAATAAAAATGTGAAATTCAAATTCGATTGAAATCTTTTTGAAATCGGTTAAACTTGTTTAGAATTAGAATAAGGCTACCCATACACGTGTAGATTTTCAGCCGAGAATATTTGTTTCAAGAATATTTGTTTGATTTTCTAATCAGTAGTTGGGTCAAATCAATGTTCATTTTCAACAGCAGTGACAGAAAAATTCGAAGGGGCAGGAAAAAAATCTGTATCTGCTGACTTTTAAAAAATGGACACTTACCTGTCCCTCAATCCCATGGTGTCCTCCCCGCAGCCTGTTTCACCGACCGTCCGGTGTTCCTGGCGCCGACATCTTCAGTGTGGGCACCCGGCTGTGACAGCTTGCGGCTTCACAGCCAGGTGCTTACTGCGCTTTGTGAATGGTCCCATAGTCTTCTGGGACCTGTCACGTGTCCCAGAAAACTACGGGGAGGGAGCGGTGGGGGGGACAACTTCTGCTTATGATCGCCTTAGGCGATTGCAGCGGAAGTGGGAGCGGGTACCTGTCAAATTTGGGTACGCTTGCCCGCTCTTCCCGCTCCCCCAAGGTGCCAATCCTTACCGAGGAGTCGGGGACCAGTCTTTAAAGTGGAACTTCCCCTTCTGGATGGAGCTCTGCTTTAAATTTGTTTTTGAATGTTTGTTCGATTTTGTTTTTGAATTTGAATTTTTTTTGATTTTGTTTTCAAATTTGTTTCTGAATCAAATTTCGGATGAATTTTGTTTCCTTATTTCGGATTACTTTAAATTCGTTATTTTTGTTATTTGGAATTCTGATACATCCGAATCTCGGAAAAAGTTAGTCCGAAATTCGATTAGAAACAAAACAAACTGCACATGTCTAGAGATCGTAGAACCTGAACATCCTTGAAGTGGAAAACGCATTGGAGTATACACAGCTTCATGTCTTTTGCAGACCCCCTCTCTGGGGTCTGTTTTTTTTTTGGCGGTGGATACCCTGTTCACAGGATTGATTTAAGAAGACATTTAATCACGGGAGATTTTAGTGATTTATGAACTTATTTGATTTATTGATCATGGGTTAATGGACTCAGTTTAATGTATGCACTATGTATGATTTTTAAGTTTATATATTCAGCATAACATATGAATAAATAAAAGATGATCATTTCAATCACGCCTGCCAGTGGTAAATGGATGGTTTCATTCATGTAAATGAACACATTCTGCTGCAGAGCTTGAATTTCTGAAAAACAGCAGACTTGCTGGCTGAATCGCCATATGAAAATGAAGAAAGAAAGCCTAAACCATCCTCTTAGATTGTAAGCTCCAAGGAGCAGGGCCCTCCTAACCCTCTTGTATTGAGCTGTATTGTTGCTGTATTGTCTCCCTTTATATTGTAAAGTGCTGAGCAAACTGTTGGTGCTATATAAATCCTATATAATAATAATAATAATAATAATAATAATAATAATAATAATAATAAAAAAAGGAAACTAATGTAGTCATCACAAGTAAGAATTGGTACATATACCCAAACAACCAACAGTGGGCCTTTACTGCAGCAATGAAAGGTCTTGTAAGCTCCAAGGATCAGGCCCTCCTCACCCTCTTGTATTGAACTGTATTGTTGCTGTATTGTCTCCCTTTATACTGTAAAGCGCTGAGCAAACTGTTGACGCTATATAAATCCTGTATAATAATAATAATAATAATAAAAAGGAAACTAATGTAGTCATCACATGTAAGAATTGGTACATACACCCAAAGAACCCCCAGTGGGCCTTAACTGCAGCAATGAAAGGTCTTGTAAGCTCCAAGGATCAGGCCCTCCTATCCCTCTTGTATTGAACTGTATTGTCGCTGTATTGTCTCCCGTTATATTGTAAAGCGCTGAGCAAACTGTTGCCGCTATATAAATCCTGTATAATAATAATAATATAATAATAATGAAACTAATGTAGTCATCGCATGTAAGAATTGGTACATATACCCAAAGAACCCCCAATGGGACTTTATTGCAGCAATGAAAGGTCATACATATATCCAAGAAGACATTATTATTATTATTATTATTATTATACAGTATTTATATAGAGCCAAAGGGTATGCTCAGCGCTGTACAGTAGCAAGGGGGACAGAACATGAGACAAGACAGTAACAATACAATACACGAGGGGTTCGAGGGCCCTGCTCTTTCGAGCTTACAATTTAGGAGATATAGTAAAAGATATTTTAATATCAGCTTTATTACATATACATTTTTTACAAACACATAATTTCTAAAACAGACATTGTTCTGACAGTGTTCTTACAAAAGAACTCTTAATACAAAAATAGGAGACTACACAGAAAGAAGCAAAAATAGCCCGACGCATTTCTATCATTCCACATTTTAGATCTTCCTCAGGGGGCACAAAGAACAGAAGACTTTCTAGTAAATATATAAACAATCATACATGAATATACCAAAAAATAAATAAACAAATAATCAAAAAGATTGGCACATGACCAAGGAATAATACAAAAACATATGTCAGAGCAAAAAAGAGATAATAATAAAAAAAGAAACTAATGTAGCCATCACATGTAAGAATTGGTACGTTGCAATACAATAAATGTTTGATTTTGGGTTTAATACTGTCAAGAAAATATATCCCCAAAAAAGTAAAAGGTATGAAGTGCAGTCATATAAAAAGCAAAACAGAAAATAATCTGTATAGCGAAATAATCTGTGCGCCAGTTAGTGGTCTTGTAAGACGAGGAGATGTTATGAGAATATGGAGTATAGTATCTATAGACTGCATTGCTGCCTCAGTAACACAGGGAGCTATAAATAGAACCATTATGGGGATGCAGTTGTCTCATTACTTCCGGTGCTGGTACCATTACACAGATCGGAGAGGAGTCATTGCAGCCTGCAGAAGGGGAGGAAAATCTGTCAGCGAAGAGCAATGATAAACAAGCTCTGCTAAGAACAATGTGTAGTGGGGGAATTTTGTGAATGGATCTGTTTTCCGTGAATCCAAAGCGCAAATCTCATTCTTCCCGAGTAGTGACAAGCATTGATCTGCGATGCTGAGCGCATATCAACACTGCAGCACATTGATGTTTATCAGGCGCTTGGCTCTTTGTTATCACCTAAAGATTTCGTTCATCTAATGAAATACAGAGCCTTAACACTTGAAAAAAGAGCTGCCAGCACATTGCATGGCCTTTTCTTCTTTTTTTTTTTTTTTTTTTACAGAAAACCTACAGTCCTCTACATCATATTAGAGAACGCTGCTTGGTTTTTCACTGTCTTCCTAAATTATTAAAGGGTAATAAACCCAAAAGCAAAACATATATTTACAATATTGCATCCTATCAATTCTTAGATGTGGTGGCTGTATTTGTTTTCATTTTAGGCTTTTCCTATTATTATACAGGATTTATATAGCGCCAACAGTTTGCTCAGCGCTTTACAATATAACGGGAGACAATACAGCAACAATACAGTTCAATACCTATATTTTCACCTGGTGATCTGGCCTGAAATTCTTCAATTTTTTCAACAGACCAAGCTGCCCTGAGAAAGTGGCAGTTAGGGAGTTGGGACAAACCATTTACTACTTACAGAGGTGCTTACAATGATCAGGTTTTATTTATTTACTGTATGTAAAACCTTTATCCCAAAAGAAAAATAACTGTTGCCATGTCCGCTTATAAAGTATTAGTATGAAGTTTGGTTTTATTTGTATATCAAGTCCATCTAAATCTGATTGTCTAACACCCACCCCATCCCCGATTGACAATTCAGCTGTCCAAAGGTATATCCGTTGCTCCTCCATCCAGAGTGGAGAAAAGAGAGGACGTGTGTTACTGGCCAGAAAAAAATAAACAAATGCAGCCACCTCATAAAGATTGATAAGTTGCGGTGTGTGGCTGGGGTGTTTAGCACCAGATTTAATCCAAAGTCATACTCCCAGACAGTGTCCAGTGTCCCTGATCATTGCCCAGTACTGTGCATGCTCAGCAGCCAACCACTGTCAGCTGTCCCAGTGTCACCAGTGCTGTCAGGAACAGTGTCCTTGACTGCAGTGACTCCAGAGCACTGTACACCAGCACCAGTGATCTGATCACTGCTCTACTAGTGTCCTGATCACCACTCTGCTATTATTTATTTTAGGTACTTATATAGTGCTGTCAATTTACGCAGTACTTTACATATACATGAGGAACAGAAGTATTTGAACAACCCTGAAATTTGAACATCCTGATCAATGTCATACAAGTATCCTGATCACTGTCATACCAGTATCCTGATCATGGTCATACCAGTGTCCTGATCACTGTCAGACAAGTTTCCTGATCACCGTCATACCAGCGTCCTGATCACCACCATACAAGCGCCCTGATCACCACCATACCAGCATCCTGATCACTACCATACCAGTGTCCTGATCACCGTCATACCAGCGTCCTGATCACCGCCATACCAGTGTCCTGATCACCGTCATACCAGTGTCCTGATCACCATCATACCAGTGTCCTGATCACCCTCATACCAGCATCCTGATCATTGTCATACCAGCATCCTGATCACTGTCATACCAGCATCCTGATCACTGTCATACCATACCAGCATCCTGATCACCCTCATACCAGCATCCTGATCACTGTCATACCAGTGTCCTGATCACTGTCATACCAGTGTCCTGATCACCGTCATACCAGTGTCCTGATCACCGTCATACCAGCATCCTGGTCATTGTCATACCAGCATTCTGATCACTATCATACCAGAGTCCTGATCACCACCATACCAGTGTGTCCTGATCATTACCATTGTCTGTGATTAAAGAGAATCATTACAGCTAACTGTATGTAATTTTCAGCCTCTGCACACAGATTACACACACACACCAAAAAATTGTCATCCAGCTCATACTACCCCTGATGTCTGCCCAACAGTGTCTAGTGTGAACAAACAGCCAGCCACCTGTCACCTGTACCAGTGTCACCAGTTCTGCCAAGAACAGTGTCCCTGGTTGCAGTGATGCACCACCACCAGTGTCATGGTGACCCACCATACCAGTGTCCTGATCACCACTATGCTCGTGTGTCCTCATCTCCACCTACCAGTATCCTGATCACTGCCATACTAGTGTCTTTATCACTGTCATATACTGATCACCTCCATACCAGTGGGTTCTGATCAGTGAGGCCTTTGTGCTATCACATACATTTTCTTTCCACATTTTCTAAAAACTTGTCGTATATAAAAAAAATTAGATTTCCAAAACTCTTTATGCCTCTTAGAAAAAATGTTGGGGTGTTTGCTTTCCAAAATGTGGTCATTTTGTGGGTGTTTCACTGTCCTGGTGCTCCAGGACTACCTATGTTATGGGTAGTCAGGAAATTAGATGCATAATTTATTTTGGGCCCCTCTATGTAGCTAGGTTGTGAAAAGGTCTCACACACGTAGTATCACCAAACTTGGGAGGATTGTGAGAATGTGTTTTGTGGTGTAATTCTAAGTATACATATGTGTGATTTAGAAATATCTTACAAATTGACAATTTTGCTTGAAAAAACATTTAAATTTTTCTCACATTTTTCCACATTTTTCAAAAACTTGTGGCAAAAAATTACATTTTCAAGACTCCTTATGCCTCTTATACTATACAATAGGGTGTGTTGTTTCCAAAATGTGGTCATTTTGTGGGTTCAGGCTTTACAAACACTTTAAAGCGGAGTTTCCAACCAAAAGGGAAAGTTCTACTTTAAAGATTGGTCCCCCACTCCCTTGGCACCTTTTGGGAGCAAGTACCCGAAATTGACAGGTACCCGCTCCCACGTCTGCTGCGATTGCCTAGGCAATCGGAAGCGGAAGTTGTCCTCCTACCCTCCCTCCCTGTAGTCTTGTGGGACACGAGACAGGTCCCAGAAGACGATGGGGCCATTCAGGAAACGCAGCGCTATTCGCCATGCGCAGTGGGCACCCGGCTGTGAAGCCGCAAGCTTTCACAGCCGGGTGCCCACACTGAAGATGCCGGCGCCTGGAATACAGGATAGCCAGTGAAACAGGCTGTGGAGGGGGGCAACGTGGGATCATGGGACAGGTGAGTGGCTGTTTTTAAAAAGTTTTTGTAGCTGCTGACTTTTCTTTTTTTACAGAGTGAGTGGAACTCAACTTTAACTAAAAAAAAAGCTGCTAACAGTTAAAATGTGCCTGCTCATGGCTGTAGCCTGAAGGAATTCCTGTCCATTTTGATTGGGTAATCAAATCCAAAAGAAAAGACCAGCTGAACTTCAAAGAAAGTTTAACCACTTGCCCTCCTGAGGATTTACCCCCCTTCCTGACCAGGCAATTTTTTGCGATATGTCACTGTGTTATTTTAACTGACAATTGCGTGGTCATGCAACTCTGCACCCAAATGAAATTTACATCCTTTTTTCCCACGAATTGAGCTTTCTTTCAGTGGTATTTGATCGCCTCTGCGTTTTTATTCTTTGCGCTATAAAAAAAAGACAGACAATTGTGAGAAAAAAAAAACTAGATTTTTGACTTTATGCTATTAAACATGTCCAGTAAAAATTTAAAAAATCTAATTTAATTATAAATGTATGCCGAAAGGTATTCTGCTCCATGTTTTGCTAAAAAAAATCCCAATACATGTAAATTAATAGGTTGGAAAGTTATAGCATTTACAAATGGCGGTATATATCCTGGGATTTTTTATTTTTACTAGTAATGGAGGCGATCATCAGCAACTTATAGTGGGACTGCGGGACTGCGGCGGAAATTCTGACACTGGGGGGAACTGACTTGGTGTCACAGACATCCTCAGTGACACCAATACAGTGATCAGTGCTAAAATAAAAGCAGTGACACTGTACTAATGGAACTGGGCAGGAAGGGGTTAACATGAGGGGCGATCAAAGGGTTAAATGTGTGCAGGGAGTGTTTTTCTAGGGGGCCGTGTCTGGGTGCTTCACTGTAATTACACTGCTCTGGATGGCTGTGCTGTGCACAGCCATCCAGAGCAGTGTGCCTGAGCTGACAGGGAGGAGAACTGTTAGTAAACAAACCTAGCCACAGACATCCTCAGTGACACCAATACAGTGATCAGTGCTAAAATAAAAGCAGTGACACTGTACTAATGGATCTGGGCAGGAAGGGGTTAACATGAGGGGCGATCAAAGGGTTAAATGTGTGCAGAGAGTGTTTTTCTAGGGGGCCGTGTCTGGGTGCTTCACTGTAATTACACTGCTCTGGATGGCTGTGCTGTGCACAGCCATCCAGAGCAGTGTGCCTGAGCTGACAGGGAGGAGAACTGTTAGTAAACAAACAGTTTTCCTCCCCGTCGGAGATCTTCGGAAATCACCGGGCAGTGGTGAGTAATTACCTGCCGGGACCCGGTGATTGACTGCCGCGGCTGCCAATGGCGGTGCGGGTATGTCGCGCTCACACATGATTTTGCTCACCCGTGCCTCCCTGTAGCGGTATTTCTGCTATAGGGCGGTCGGGAAGCGGTTAAACACTGGTAACTTTATTTGCTTGAACACATTAATAGAGAGTCCTCACCTGAGACCTCTTTCACTAACGCATTTCACCCACAAAACTGACTAAGATTTTCTTTGGAGCACAGCCAGTGTTTTCCTTTGCATTACCAAAAGTGTTGTAGCTTTTCACAGCCTGAAATACTGCAGGTATAACTGTAGGTAATGTAAGTATGCAAATGAAGCAAATTCAAACACTCTTGAGGATAGTCCATTAATTTACTTTTTATATCTACATGGGTATACGATGCACACTAACATTTTTATGCTTTAAGTCTTAAATAATTCTTGTACTGGACACATTGAGGTAATTTAGAAAATCATTTAAACCTATGCACCTTGGGGTAATGATTGCTTTGCCTTGTGATTCATCTCTTTGGCTACTTCAACCTTTTTGCAAAATGACTCACTTAATAAGCAAGGTATCTTCTGTCTTGCTTCATAATATTTATGCTTTCAGTTATTAACCCATTTATACCCACAAGTAATTTAAATACAGGTGAAACTCAAAAAATTTGAATATTGTGCAAAAGTTCATTTATTTCAGTAATGCAACTTAAAAGGTGAAACTAAAATATGAGATAGACTCATTACATGCAAAGGAAGATAGTTCAAGCCGTGATTTGCCATAATTGTGATGATTATGGCTTACAGCTCATGAAAACCCCAAATCCACAATCTCAGAAAATTAGAATATTGTGAAAAGGTGCAATATTCTCGGCTCAAAGTGTCCCACTCTAATAAGCTAATTAAGCCATAACTCCTAGATTGTAAGCTCGAAAGAGTAGGTCCCTCTAACCCTCGTGTGCTGTTTGTAGTTGCTGTACTGTCTCATGTATTGTCCCCCCCTCTATTGTACAGCGCTGAGCAAACCCTTTGGCGCTATATAAACTAGATGCAATGTAATGTAATAACACCTGCAAAGGGTTCCTGAGCCTTTAAATGGTCTCTCAGTCTGGTTCAGTAGGAATCACAATCATGGGAAAGACTGCTGACCTGACAGTTGTGCAGAAAACCATCACTGACACCCTCCATAAGGAGGGAAAGCCTCAAAAGGTAATTGTAAAAGAAGTTGGACGTTCCCAAAGTGCTGTATCAAAGCACATTAATAGAAAGTTATGTGGAAGGGAAAAGTGTGCAAGAAAAAGGTGCACAAGCAGCAGGGATGACCGCAGCCTGGAGAGGATTGTCAGGAAAAGGCCATTCAAAAGTGTTGGGGACTTTCACAAGGAGTGGACTGAGGCTGGAGTCAGTGCATCAAGAACCACCACACACAGACGGATCCTGGACATTGGCTTCAGATGTCGTATTCCTCTTGTCAAGCTGCTCCTGAACAACAAACAACATCAGAAGAGTCTTACCTGGGCTAAAGAAAACAGACCTGGTCTGTTGCTCAGTGGTCTAAAGTCCTCTTTTCTGATGAGAGCGACTTTTGCATCTCATTTGGAAACCAAGGACCCAGAGTATGGAGGAAGAATGGAGAGGCACACACTGCAAGATGCTTGAAGTCCAATGTGAAGTTTCCACAGTCTGTGTTGATTTGTGGAGCCATGTCATCTGCTGGTGTTGGTCCACTGTGCTTCATTAAGTCCAGGGTCAACGCAGCCGTCTAGGAGGAGATTTTGGAGCACTTCATGCCTCCTTCCGCAGACGAGCTTTATGGGGATGCTGACTTCATTTTCCAGCAGGACTTGGCACCTGCCCACACTGCCAAAAGCACCAAAACCTAGTTCAATGACCGTGGGATTACTGTGCTTGATTGGCCAGCAAACTCGCCTGACCTGAACCCCATAGAGAATCTATGGGGCATTGCCAAGAGAAAGATGAGAGACATGAGACCAAACAATGCAGAAGAGCTGAAGGCCGCTATTGAAGCATCCTGGTTTTCCATAACACCTCAGCAGTGCCATAGGCTGATAGCTTCCATGCCACGCCGCATTGAGGCAGTAATTGCTGCAAAAGGGGCCCAAACCAAGTACTGAGTACATATGCATGATTATACTTTTCAGAGGTCCGATATTGTTCTATGTACAATCCTTGTTTTATTGATTGCATGTAATATTCTAATTTTCTGAGATTGTGGATTTGGGGTTTTCATGAGCTGTAAGCCATAATCAGCACAATTATGACAAATCACGGCTTGTACTATCTTCCTTTGCATGTAATGAGTCTATTTCATATATTAGTTTCACCTTTTAAGCTACATTACTGAAATAGATTAACTTTTGCACGATATTCTAATTTTTTGAGGTTCACCTGTATACTGTATATATCAAGAAATAGTGAGCTGTACATCTTTTATTCTCTCTACTCGATGGTAATACATCCAGAGATCCAGCAGGCTTCCCTATACCACCTATACAATGAATCCAAAGTAGAAGATGAAACACCACCATTTGCATGCTTTTTAGTTTAATCTTTGTTCTTCACATCATACACGGAACAATACTAACAACCACTGCATTCTAGAGGGTCCTAGGATTACAGTGGGAGGAAAGACAGAGAGGCAGTCTTATTATTTATGGGGATCCAGCCAATCCCTGTGGAGGTGGGCCCAGTAGGTGGCAGGAGAGCCCATAAATAGTCTGGGGCCTGGAGCAGGAGTGAGGGAGTTCTGGGTCTGGTCCTGTAGGATGAATCCCAAGCCTGAGGGGGCTCAGCCCCCAAAGGGCTTTTTGCTGGAGCACTGCTGGAAGCTCATCAAAGTCCCAGCTGCAGCATAGCTGGAGGACCTATAGCAAGGTTTTTGTCTGGGATTTGGGTCTGGAGAACCTGCTAAAGAATACCCAATGGAAGTTGGAGAAGGGAGTGCAGCTGTGCTGCGATATTGTTCGTTGATTCTCCCTTACTGAACAGTGCCCAGTGGATATCAGAAGGAGGCAACCGATGATCCTGTGGCATGACTCAGAGTACTAGTGACTGTGCGCAGATCCCTTTTCTTCAAGGAGGCCCTTGTAATTGCTCAGTTTGAGGAGGCCTTTCATGAGAACTTTTGTCAGTCACACCTCCTACTCTAGAGTCCAGAGACTGATTAGGAGAAGTGTTGTCTTGTTTCAGTGTTCTTGAGGTATCCCATGCTGCCCTTTCTCCCCTCCCAAGTTCTATATCAATAAAATATATAAAAGACATCCCTAGACTGTTCATTGAGCCCAAGACCAAGGATGATGATGTGTGCCTGGCTACCAGTACACCATCTTTTAGGACAGAGCATGCTAAAACTTAGTAGTCCCTGACACACACAAATATATATATATATATACACATACAGTGCTCGGAATAAATGAGTACACCCCTTTTGAAAAGTAAGATTTTATATCTCAATGAACACAAGAGCAATTTTCAAAATTATGAGGGACAAGTTGATCATCACCCTCTATCCAGCATCCAGGCTCTAAAAGAGGTTGTTCTTAAAGACTGGAAAAAGATAGATGTTGCAATATGTTGCCAACTTATTCATTCCATGCCTAGAAGACTTGGTGCTGTACTTACTAATCATAGAGGTTACCGTTTTTGCCGGCGTATAAGACGACTGGGCGTATAAGACGA